TTAGTCTTCCTAACGCCTTGGGAATTACAGACTACGCCACTACGCCATACGCTCAGCTGTTTGACAGAAAGAAGACGCTGCCCTATCCCTGAGCTCGAAGGAGGTGATGCTGGATCAGAACCTGCTGTCTGCTTTGAACCATAGCTACTTTCTACAGCACAGCTGCTCTCCAGTGGTTGGTCCGGGCATAAAGAAGAGTTGTCCCAAGGCCAGAGGATGGGCTTGATCTCAAGGAAGTCCTTGCCTGGAGAGGTCAGAACCTCAGCTTTGGAACAGTGCCTGGAGACCCCAACTTATGCCCAGCACCAGTCCAGCTGTTTCCAGGTCTCTGGCTGTAATAGAAAACAAGTCACTAAAGCAGCATGTTCCTTCCTTCCTTCCTTCCTTCCTTCCTTCCTTCCTCCCTTCCTTCCTTCGCATCTGGCCATGTTGCATAGTCCTTTCTGTCCTTGAACACTGTATCTTCTCGCTTCTGCTTTCTCCCAGGTAGTGGTGTCATAGGCCCTTGTCCTCTGCCAAACTAGTTTCTGATATATGTGTTGACTCAGCGTGATACATCTCACTATTGCTACCACAGATGGGATAGAGGGGCCCTAGCCCAGGCCAACAGCTCATCATTGGCCCTTGATGTTAAGAAGGCGACATGGAGTTAAGACTTCTGATGTAGGAGAACGGGGTAGGGGTCAAAAATAGACCCTCCCACACTCTGGTTGTCCTGAGTCCGTGAACATGAAGAACCCCAGGCACCAACTTTTGAGCAAGCTGTGAGGTCATCCATGTTATGTGACCAGGCTCAAACAGAATGGACAGAGCAGTGGTCAGTCAGCTAGGACCCAAGTAGGCCCAGCCTACCTTGACTAGCAAAAAGCTCCATAAGCCCCAGGGCCTTGAGCCCTGTCTGATATATAGGTAGTCAACAGGTATATTTTAAATATCTTATTTATTATTTCTATTATTTTGTGTGTATGAGTGGATTCCCTGCACATATGTAAGTGCACTGGTGTTGTGTCATGCCTGAGGAGATCAGAAGAGGGTGTTGAATTTCCCTGGAATTCCCCTGGAGTAGTGGGTATTTGTTAGCCACCATGTGGCTGCTGGGAATTGAACCCAGGTCCACTGCAAGAGCAGCCAGTGCTCTTAACCATTGAACCATCTCTCCAGCCCCAACAGATACATTTTAATGGATGGCTGAAAAGAGGGGCAAAGAACCAAGAGTCTTGGGGTGGGGGTCTGTGTGCATGAAATCGCCCCTGCAAAGGGGAATCTACACATAAGTCTTCTTTTTATTTCAAAAGCACCCTCATCCTCTTACACCTCACCACTCACACACCCTCTTCAGGACTCACAATTTCCTGGGGGAGAAAAAATCTCTGCCTGATCTCTAAGCTTTGCCCTTATGCTGGCACCTTCTTTTGCAAAGACAAGAAAAACTGGTCTATCCAGTTCCCCTTGACTGGAGCAGGAGCCACTGTCTGCAGCTTCGGAGCCAGGGATGGCTCCCTAGTTAGCAGCCAAGCACTTGGGTTTCACATGCTGCCCTGAGCTGACAAGGCAAAGATTGCTCTCAGATCCCTCAGCAGCAACCTGGGCTGTGGATCTGGGCCCCATGGTTATCTGATGACAGGTCACAACCCTCTAGATTGAGCAACTCTCCTCTGCACCTCCCTCCACTTTCTCTGTCCCCAGGGAGTCTGCAATACAAAAGCCAAGAGTCTTAAACTCTTGACTAGACACAAGTTCTTTAAGTTGACCAAGCCTTAATTCTCTACCTATAAAATTGGAATAACAATGGTGTCTGCCTCTTAGGGGCAGTATGTATATAAGTAATAAAATATATATGGCGTGCTTGTGTCTTAGATGTGTTTGTTTTGCTGTGACTGAAACACCAGACAGAAACAATTTAAGAGAGAAAATATTTATTTTGGCTCATGGCTTCAGTCCATCACAGTGGGGAAGGCACAACACAGCGGATCAGTTCATGGCTGCAGTATTTTGTGGCAGAGACTATGTATATCACAGTAGACCAGGAAGGAGGGAGCAGGAACCAGGGGCTGGGTATAATCTCTAGTGGCCTACTTACACTAGCTAGGCCTTCCTTCCTGAACATTCCATAGCATCTCCACATAGCATCACCAGCTGCGGATCAGAAATTCAAACCACGAACCTATGGGAGACATTTCAGATTCAAACTGTAATGTTCTGCCCCCAACCCCGAAAGGGACATGGCCATCCCATAATATAAAGTGCATTTAGTCCAACTTCAAGAGTCTCTGTGATTGTTACATTTTACTGTCTATTTGACTACATTTAGAACCACCTAAGAGGTTAAGGCACATCTCTGGATTTGACTGGGAGGGTATTTCAGAGAGGATTAACTGAAGGGTAAAGATCTAAAGGGTAAAGACCTGAAGGTGGGTGGAATCATCTCATGAGATGGGGGCTTGGACAGAGTAAAAGTGGAGAAAGGAGAAAGGGAGCTGACTGCCTCATTCATCTCTTCCTGACTGTAAGTGTAATGTGACCAGCTGGCTCATGCTCCCGCCACCAAGCTTTCCCTCCCACAATGCACTGTATCCCCTCAGTGACCCCAAATAAATCCTCCCTTAAGTTGATTCTAGTAGGTCACAAGGAGAAAAGTAACTAATACAGTCCCCAAGGTCTTAACCATGTCAATACTGTCCAAATATTTAAGTCCAGAATCTCTACTGAGACTTAAGGCAATCTATTAGCTGTGAGCCCCTATACAATTGTAAAGTAAAATTCTCTTCTGGGAGGCCTGTGCTCCATGTGCTCTTGGCTCCCAGGCTCCACTGTGTCCTTACTACCAGGTGGACAAACCCAACACAATGTTCCTCTATGCTACAGTTTATGGAATAAAGATATTTATTTGGGCTTGCCAATAAAGCTTATGATATCTGGGAGGGGGTCACTTACAAAGTATGGACACCCGTGGGCTCTTTCCCCACATCTCGGCTGAGCTTTCTAAATCAGCACCCACCAACTCCAAATGGCGAAGCTCCCACTGCTTCCCTGGCTTCCATGTCTCTCCTTGAAACGGACCAATTGGATAGAGGGGTGACTGTCTCCGGAGCTCTTTCTATGGAGTCTCTTAGGGTTCAGACATGCAGCTGTGGCTAGTTCTTTCAGAGGATATGCCTATCCAACAACAATTACAAAGAACATTACATACTTTTAAGATACAGTGACACATTACCAGTCCAAAAAGGGGGATGATAGCAAGGAAAGACTGGGCGAAAGCTAGACTGACACCCGGCAGGGCAAGCATTAAGTCCTGTACTTCCCGGATCCAGGCATGTGGTGTCACGATGTGAGTGCTGATCAGTTAGTTCCCCACCTCTACAGTCTTGCCATTATAGCCCACAAAACTTTTCTCTTGGGTTGGCGTCACTCACTGTCTGTCCCCAAGCACATGTCCCATGTTCCTGGCATCTCCAACACCTTGGAGTCTCCACTGCAACTTGGGCTTCACCCTCACGGTATCATACATAGCCTTCTTAGGGGAACCCTACAAAGAATCCATCCCTGGTACACATTCACCTGGCACCCCAAAATTCTCAAAATTTTTGATTGAATCCTTCATAACTCCATGACTCTTGAATTCTTCACACCTGTGAAGCAACACCACATACACAATGCCAAATTCTACCCCCACCTTGAGTAGCTATAAGGCCCCATTGGGTCACAGCTGCAGTGGCCTCTGAGGGCCTCCGTGGCTGAGCCTGGGAAAACGCTAGGCAGCACAGCAACACTCTCTTTAAAGGGAAGTCTCAAATTAGTCTGCAGTTTAACCTGCACAGTCTACAGAAAGTGGGTTTTTGTCACTTCCTAGAATGTCCTCAAAGCACCTTCCCAATCATTCCAGTGAAAATTGTTTGACATCTTTTTAAGAACTAAGGCCTTATAATAGTTGGTTTTAATGGCATCTCACCACAAATTAAAATCACCTGAGTAAGGAGTGGCACATGAATTGTCCTGATTGCTTTAATTAATACGGGAGGACCCACCCCAAATGTGGGCAGCACCTTCTGGTAACAGGCCAGATACAAAGGGCGGGGCAGAAGAAAGACTATTCGCCTTTTGCTTGCTTGGCTTTTCCTCTTGCTGCTGAGTTGATTTATCCTGTTGCTGCTGCTGCAGATTCCTTCACTGACATCTGAGCCAATGCTTCCAAGCTTCTGTCATCGACTGAGGACCAGTCACTCTTCAAGAACCCTCCAGGTTTTGGGTACCAGATTGGGACTACTGAGGCACCCAGTCTCAAGGACTGAGCAGCTACCAGGTTCGTTCTCTCAGGGGTGGTTCAGCTGCTGTTACAATTTTGAAGTAAGCTGATTATTAAGTTTATATATAGAGTCATTCCATCAGTTCTCTTCCTCTAGAGAACACTAACACAGGCCTCTTTTTCTGCCACTTTAAACATGCTCGTTTTCTGACCATTTTTCTTTTACAGCTCTCCGCTCTTCTTTCTGATGTGCATTATAAAGCTAGCTAAAAGTAGACAGCAGTAACAATGCCACAGCCTGAATGCTATGGTGTCTTGAAATTTCCTCCATCAAATTAGTCCATTGCTTTTGAATTCAATCTCACTCAAATTTTCAGGACACGGGCAAAGCAGAGGCCAGAATGCAACACAAATGGCCTCTAGTTGAATGCTCTCTAGAGTTCTCATTCTCATCTGAAACCTCATGAGCCTGGCCTTCACTGACCACATTTCTACCAGCATTCTGGGCTTCTAAACTCCACAAGAATTGCCCATTAAGCTCTGCCTACAGCATTTAAGATTTCCTTAGCCTGTATCTGCAGTCTTCCAAATTCCTCTCCTCTCACACACCAGCTCCAAAGGCCCAAGAACCCCATAGTCAAGTTTAATCATAACAACCCCTTTCCTGGTACCAATTTTCTGCATTAATTACTTTTACATAGCTGAGACCAAAATAGCTGAAAGAAAGCACTCAAGGGAAGAAATATTTATTTAGGCTCATGTTTTCAGTCTATCATGGTAGGGAAAAGACACAGCAGAATAGTTCATATCATGGGGTAGGGAGCATGTGGAAGAAGGATTCACATCATAGAAGACTAGGAAGCAGGCAGTGTGGCAGGAACCATGGGCCAGTTATAACCTTCAGTGGCCCGCCCCCCTAATGACCCACTTCTGCCAGCAAGGTTCCACGACTTCCCCAAAATAGTACCAGAATCACCCGCTGAGCAGCAGACATCTGGAACATGAACCTGTGGAGGACATTTCAGATTTAAACCAAAACAACTTGGCATGGAGTAACACCCTAGTAAATGATAATGTAGGGAAATCTTCACTTTTCTCTTTTCCCTTTGAAGATTTGATGATTTTACTATAAAATAAATTGGCAATTGATTACCGGGAAAAAGATCATAAAGTGTATTAATGTGAAGAAACATGAGACTCAAAGGAGGACTAGATGATAGGAGCTTTTGCAGCTAAGGGAAAGGACAAAGACCTGGGCTTCTGGGGAGGGAGGTGGGGTGGGCTATGCGTGGCTAAGGAGACTGGATGTACAGATCAAGGGCTGTCTTGCCATGCAGATAAAAGCACAAGGCACAAGCCATTGGCAATCCCAGCCTCTTCCTATGGAAGGATCTTTCCCAGGCAGAAAGGGAACCTCCTCTAAGAAAGCCCTTGTCTGCACCCACTGTTTCCTGATGTGGACAGCTTAAGTTTCTCTCTGAAAAATAACTGCTTCTTAGAGCTATCCATGGGGCTGCCAAGATCTGAATACGTGTCAAAGAAATATATTTAAGGTGAGCTAGCCCTTTAGAACATGGTTCTCTCTCTCTCTCTCTCTCTCTCTCTCTCTCTCTCTCTCTCTCTCTCTCTCTCTCTCCCCCACACACACACACATGCTATAGCTGCTAGCCTTTCTGCTTGATATAGTTTGTTCTTGTACTCTTGTAAATAGACACATACAACCTACACTCTAAATAAAAGGAAAATGTTCATCCATCATTATTAGTGGATTTAACAAATACTCTTCCAGGTCCTGTACTGGGTTCAGATGGCAAAAGGAAGGTTGTAGGATATGGGCATTGAGTTTGAAGTTCCCTGAGACTTCCCATAGGTTGATCCCTGGTACAAATCACACACTGTCCATTTGCCTGTCTCACTTGAAGTTTCCCAAACTCAGCCTCCTCCAGAATGCTGTCTCTGCTGGTTACACTGCTCGATCCTCTAAGGGACAAATTCAGACAGCAGCACACAGGACGTTCCTGAGCAGGTGCTTTTGGCCTGGGTACCTGGAGAGAAGAAAAGAAAGCTGACTGAACAGAGAGGAGGTCTAGGCTCTACGCAGTCCTTTGGAAGGCTTCAGTGGCCTCCAAGGCATGTCTCAAGTAGGAATGAGTGGCCGGGCTTTATGTGCCTAAGTAGGATGAATTGCTGGGTGCAAGCGACCTGGGTGAGATAGTTTCCCATGAAAGCACAATCTGCCTGGAGCCATCTGCAGACTCTCCACAGCTGGGGAATGACCCTCATTCACAAAAGGGGACTTGGGGGCTGCAACCACCCCCTGCACTGACCTAATTGTTAGTAGGGACATGTTGATGCCACCCACTGGATCTCCAGGACTGTCTCTCAATTGGACGAAAAAGAGGGAAGGGATTTACAGATCCCCTGAACATTCAGCTGCATTGAATCTGTGTGGAAGAATCTCTTCTGCTCCAGAGTTCTGGGTCCATCCTTCACTGCTAAACATTCCTGACATTAAGGCTTGAGGTCAACAAAGAAAGGGGAATTTGCCATCAATCAAGAGAGTCAGAAGAAATTAACTAGGAATCATGGGATCATTGGGGAAGGGTGAACTGGGTATATTTCAAGATTGGTCAGGACCTTGTTTAAGATGCCCTGTTGCCTTTTCTGAAGGGAGAGGAAGGCAGCCTCCGTGGGTAAAAGAAGGGAGGCTGCTTCCTGGGGCTCTCTGTCCACTGCCGTGAGCAGCTCAGAGCGGCTGATCAGAATAGAATGTGGCTGGTGGGTTGGCTGTCTGCTGGCATGCGCCAACAAGACCCACCATAAGACATACTGAGCATAAATGCTTGTTTGAGTGAATTCTGGTACCACACAGTAGATTTGCAAACATGTCTTCAATTAGAAGCTGCTCCCAGGAAACTATAGCTGCCTTCTTACCCCAGAAAAAAATATCCAAACTCCAATGCCAGAACGCAGATTGGACTTGACTGATGAAGGGATTTAAAAAAAAAAAAAAAAAGATTTATTTTATTATTTACTTGTGTGTGTGTGTACCTATCTGAGGACACCAGAAGAGGTTTCAGATCCCCTGGAGCTAGAGTTACAGGTGGTTGTGAGCCTCCTAATATGGGTGCTGAGAACTGAGCTCAGGTCCTCTGGAAGAAGAGTAAGTGCTCTGAACCGATAAGCCATCATTCCAGTCCTGAACAGATTTTATCAGGAGTTTCTAAGTCCCCTGGAAGTTTTTCAGATTGATCATGATTTGGTACTAAAACTTCCATGAATTTTAAGAATTAAAAAGAAACCTTAGGTTTCCATGAGTTACTCTGTTTGCTGTAAGGGTATGGGGGAAGCGATTCCTAACTGCTATATGTATAAGAACTAAGAAATAAGGAAAGCATCACTGTTGTTGAGATTTATGGATTCACTGTGGAAAGGGGAACACGTGACCACAGAGAGAACTGGGGGAAGATGAGGAAGAATCCAGGATGGAAGTGGAAATATCAGTGTATACCTATGACTTCTGAAGCATGCGTGTATGAACATGTATGTTCTGTGCACACATGTATGTCTTTATGTGTGTTTGTTTATATACAGGTATCTGTTTCTTAACACTGGAGGAGTCAAAAGCAAAGACACTCCAGTCGTAGTGAGCACAGTTGGTACCCAAGCTGGATCTCTAACACCATCCCCTACCACAAAGAATCAGGCTCCATAGAACGATGGCTCACTCCACGGTTGAGAAAAGGGAGCTGCAAGATGAACCTCGGACATCTTATTGTGCTACAAAGTAAGATGGGGGTTCAGGGATATCAGAAGGACAGCAGTCAGATTAGAGCGACTCTGCTGGCCACACTGATTAAGAACAGTAGTGAAATATGCATCATTGAAAGAAATATGAATTCCAGTCTTCACCAATGATGGATGGATGGATGGATGGATGGATGGATGGATGGATGGACGGACGGATAGACGGACAGTAAAATGCCAACCTGGGTAAGCTGGTCAAAGTGGAGAGAGGGCTATAGCAGGAAAATGCTCATTTTGTAAACAATAATGACAGGGTTAGACAATAATCACCAATGAAGTTAAATCTAGGGAGAAATTTTGGCTAAGAGCCGGCTATTTTGAAGTATCTTTAAGTGCTTCCTACAGACCATTTATTAGTTGCAAGGAAAGAAAAAAGGAGTAATTATGAAGTAGAAAAAATCAAACAACACCTCAAGTGGGTGATCAAAATTAACATCTTCAAGGGTTCAGAGGAACATCACAGCTTCCAGAGGGAAACACATCATCTCTGCAGTATCCTGTCCAGGAATGTTACCATGACAAAGCAACAGTTCAAGCTAAGATAAAGAATGTTTTACTAACACAAAGAAAAGAGCAGTTACATTCTTCAAAACTGTCCATTTCATAGACAACAAGGATGAGCTGAGGATAAAGGACCTAGGAAGATGGTGCAGTCGGTAAACTGATTATCACACAAGCATGAGGACCTGAGTTCAGATCCCAAGCACCCAGGTAAAAAGCCAGGTGTGCCAGTACTGGGGGAGGAAGAGGGAGGTAGAGACAGGGAGACCTCTGAAGCTTATTGTCCAGCCAGCCTAGTGGAATAGATGAACTTCAGGCATGTTGAGAGACTCTGTTTTAAAAAAATAAAGGTGGATAGGGCTGGAGAGATGCTCAGGGACTAAGAACACTTGCTCTCTTCTAGAGGATATGAGCTCAGTTCCCAGTACCCACACTGGGTGGTTCACAACCTCCTATAACTCCAGTTCTAGGGGATCCAACTCCATCTTCTGGCCTTCCCAGGGACCAGACATGCAGAAAATATAGGACTCCTATATTAAGCTTCACCCACCCAAGGCTCAGAGACTATTGTGGAAGAGGGAACAGAAAGATTGTAAGAGCCGGAGGGGGCACGGGGCAGGGAGGTACATGACCATATGGAAAAAGGCTCCTGGGAACCTGCTCATATGAACTTATAGCAATGGTGTCAACATGCACAAGACCCATGAAAACTCAAGCAGACAAAAACCCATCACAAAACTGTGGACATAGGCAGCAGGCCCCAATCTTAGCCAAAGAACTATTCACAGCTGATTACTGCTGGGTGAGGAAGACCTGATCTTCTTAAAAGGAGGGACCCTCGATAGGCTGAACTTAGTGGATGAACTTACACTGACAGATGTCTGGGGACACTAACGTGACTCAATAAGCCTTAATGCAAATGACAAAATGCATGAAATCCAGTGGAAGGGGCTATGGGACAGCACTGATGGGGAAGAGAGTATAAAGATGATTAAGATGTTCTGTATGAAATACACAAAAGTTCAATAAAAATTATCAAAATAAGACAAAATAAATATATCTTTTTTTAAAAAGTGGAGAAGAAAGGTGTCCTATGCCCACTCTAGCTTCCACACATATGCACAGGTACCTACAAACAAAACAACATGCACACATACACATATCCACACTAGCAAGTACATACACCACACCCATAACACAACACCCACAACATAGTGCACAATTCTTTTTTTTTTTTTAAAGAAGACTGAAGAGCAACAGATATTTAAAGCAGTCAGAAAAGCCCTCACACATTGCTGTTGGAATATAACATAACACACATCCCTTTGCAAAACAACCTGGCACTTCCTCAGATTTTAAACATAGACTTGCCATGGGCCTCAGTAATTCTATTCTTACAAACAGATAAACCCAAGAGAAAAGAAGACATATCCACACAATAACTTGTTGGTTTATAGTAATATCATTTGTGTTGGGCAAAAAAATGGATTACTCACACTTGTAATAAACAGAACATGGTATATCCATTCAGTGGAATATTATTTGGCCACAGAAAGAAATGATGTGTCAAAACATGTCACAGAATTTCTGACCACTGAAAATATTGTGCAGGGTAAAAAGATCGAAACACAAAAGACCAAATGTTATGATTCCATTTATATAAAATGTCCAGAGTGAACAAGTCTATCCAGACATGAAGAAGTTTTCTCTAGAACTAAGAGATAGGAGATTACTAATAGTTAAAGGGCTTTTTTGGTGGGGGGGTGGGGTGATAAAGATGCTCTAAACTTGGGCTGTAGTGTTGCTCATACAACTCATGAATATACTAACAGCTGGGGCTTGCTGTTCTTACAAAGTATTCAGGTTCAGTTCCCAGCAGGCAGGGAGTTCACAACTGATTGTAACTCCAGCTCCAGAGAGTCTAACACCCTCTTCTGGCCTCCATGGGCACTGCACTCATGTGGCATATACATACACACACATAAATAAAAATGAAATAATATCATATTTATACTAAGAACTATTGAATTGTATGTCTTTTCTTTGTATGTTTGGGACAGGGTCTTACCTCAAGCTGATCTCAAACTCACTATGTAACTGAGACTGGTCTTGAACTCCTGACCCTCCTGATTCCCCCTCCCAAGTGTTAGGATTATAAACATGCACTACCGTGCTTAGCAATTTGTATATTTTAGGATGAATTATATGATTTGTGAATTATATTTCAATAAAGATAGTTTTTAAAGTCTATTACTGTTTGTTTAAAATACTCAGGTAGAGCTAGGGATGGTAGTGCACACCTGTAATCCCAGCACTTGGGAAAGTTCAAAACCAGAATGGCTATGCAGTGAGTACCACCCAGCTAGGGCTGCATTGTAAGACCCTGTCTCAAAAGGAAAGAATAAAATGAAATACTTGGGGAACAACATTTAGTGGTATGCTTTATCTCTAAAGAGAAATTTCTAGAAATAAAGAAATAAAACACACATACACACGAAGATGGATGGAGAAACATGAAGATCATTTAGGCTTTTTTGTGAGTGGTTCTAAAGGAACTGTGCAGGCAAAGAGCAGAGGGCCCTGGTCAGAGGGCTGGAAGTGAGGGAGCAGGTAGACACAGCTGTGGTGTAGACCATGCCCTAAGAAGAATTCATGTGAAGAGAAGTGGAGAAATATGATGGGAGCGCAAGCTATGGGAGCTGGAGAAGGGCTTTCCGGTGTAGAAAAGTGCTGGGGCAGGGGGGTCCTTGGTGGGAAAGGACCCACTATGGGAGCCACGGGAGCTGAGAGATGTACCAGACAGCCAGTTCCAAGAGAAGTTACAGGAGCCAAAAACCTTGGCTTGTTTCCCCCAGAGAGCTGGGAACAAAAGAAACTAGACAGATGATGACCGAACATGCCTGTGATTTGACTACAGTAAGATGGGGGAGTCCTGTCAGCTGGCTTTTCACTGTGGGGTGAGGACATTTCATCTCCTGAGAGTCCACCACATACTAGCTGTGTGGTCTTGACAAATGTGGCGAGTTTTGTAAAATGGATGACACTTTGAAGGACTTTTGTGAACACAGCAGGATGCTGAGCCTGAGTTTACCTTCATGTTTGTACGTATCCCTGCTCGTTCTGCTCCCCACAAATGCATGCAGCAGTGCATTTCTTTGAGGAAGTAACCTTCCATTCATCATCATGCCCCTACAACCTATCAATGCCTGGCACGTAGTAGGTGCTCAGTAAACATTTGTTCATGAGATTTCCTCTTTACCAAGCATCTGTATCAGTAGCTGACACAATACTAGGGATTTTCACTCCTGTCCCCTCATCTACTTTTCACAGCTGCACTACATTGTGTAGGTTTTTGGGCCCAAGCAGCTGTCCTGTCCTTTGCTGTGGCACAGCAACCACTGTGTGTTACTGAGAGTCAAATTGAGCCATGTCCTTTAATTCACCTTGAAACAGTCACCTGGATTCTGCCTGTGTGCCTGTCACCCCATTGTGATGAAGGATGCAGATGATCAATTTAAATGCTTTTCCTGCCCCGAGAGAGCTGGTGCTACCCCAGGAAGAGCTTCCATTTCTGCCAGCTCATGACTCCATAAGCCCTTGGAAACAACATTCAAGGCTGGGATTGCTCAGCGCCTCCCCGACTTTGCCTTGGCGATGTGTCTGCAGCCTTCCAGGACTCCTGGAGGGGCTTCTCAGAAGCTTCTTGCTCTCCCTCAGGAGCTGGGGTGGACGGGTTAGAATCCTAAGCAATGGGACTTCATAATTCAATGGAGAATTGGTATTTTTGACTTTGTATGTTAAGTTTTTATAAAGTGCAAAACTCTAGTACTCCAGGAATGAAATGGATTTGAACACAGTTACTTCAAAATCATGCTCTCTGGGGGCTGGGGAGATGGCTCAGTCAATAAAATAACTGTTGTGCTAGTATAAAGACCTGAGTTTAGATCTCCAGTACTCATGCAAAAAAGTAGGGTCCAATGTGCATCTGTAATCCCAGTGCTGGGAAGGCAGGCACTCACAGGATTATCCTTGCGGCTTGTGACAAGACAGTGTGGCCAATCAGCCAGCTCCAGGTTCAAAAAAAGTAAAATGAGAGCAACTGAGGAGAACATCCAGCATAGTGTTTGTCCTCCACACACATGCACACACATGCAAATGAGCATGTACACGTACACACACACACACACACACACACAGGGTAAGTTATTCTACCTGAACAACTAGATGAAAGAGGCTTAAGGATTCTAAATGCAAAGTAACAATGAAGAAATGGGAACATTACTCACCTGAAATGTACGCACTGAAATATCACCGTATTCAATAATTATACAATTATTATGTAATAATCCAATATTTTAAAACTTTGAGATATTAACAACCTGATCAACCATTACATTCTGTATATATATATATGGATCTGTCCCATTGAATCCCCACAAACTTGTACAATTAAAATCTAATATTAAAAATCAGAGCTGGGTGTGGTGGCACATGTTACCCAGCAATATAGGAGGAAGAGACAGGAGGATGCTAGAAAGCCAGCCTGGCCTACATAGGGAGACCTGCTTTTTAAAAAATAAGTCTGTCTTAACACCACCAGGTTTGTGGGAACAGAGAAAACTGAAATCTGCCCTTGAAAAATGAGAACTCCAGGTCTGGAGAGATGGTTCAGCAGGTTAAGAGCACTGGCTGCTCTTGCAGAGGACAGAGTCACCCACATGGTGACTACCAACCATCTGTAACTCCAGTTCCAGGAAAATCGGCGGCCCTCTTCTGATCTCCTCTGGCATTGCACAACAGGAGTGCACCTTCCTACATACAGGCATTATACTCATACACATAAAATAAAAATAATAAATAAAATTTTTTAAAAAGGAAAATGAGGACTTAAGAAGGGTTCAGTTCTGTTTTCCCCGGCCGTCTAGAGCCCCAGCTTTTATCTCAGTCACTCCAAGCCACAAGTCCCCAGACCTCTCTGCCTTGAGCTCAAGATTTTTCTTTCTGGTGCGGAGTTTGAACCAAGGGCCTTGTATGTGCTAGGCAAGCTCTGAGTGAGCTCACCCCCCCGCCCCCGCAAGGGTATTTTCTCTTCAGCCTTTGTGTGCTTGTTGGGGACGGGGCGGGGCAGTCCTGCTGGTGTCCACACCTCAGGGAACACAGGGCCAGTGTGTTCTTTGAAAACGGCTCTGCGCAGGCACCTGGCAACCGGTGCCCTTGGGGTTGAGAAGAGTCGGATGACAGCTCCACTGCCCACACAGGGTGCATGTGCGGGACCGCTGCTCATGTGTATTTCCCTTGTGGACATAACCTTTAGAAAGGGACCAGAGGCACTGTGTTGCGAAAGCTCCCCGCTTACATTTCTAACGACATTCCCTAGTCCGCTCTGGGTCTAGAACATTCCTCCCTCTGCCCTGCTTCCCCATTTCTGCCCTGGAAACGGAAACAAAACATCAGCTGGCGGGAGAGGGGAGCAGCACGGGCCTCTCCCAGACGCTTCCCCCACACCTGAAGGCCCCCTGCAAGGGCTCTCCCCAGGGCCAGGCCTTCACTGGCTCTCAGGGTTTCTGAAGGCAATTTCGGTGACTCAGAGGTGGGGATCCGCCTCCCTGCCTTTCACACTGGAGCTGGGCCCGCCTCCCAGGCATCATCTGCCACACGGGGCGCATCGCTCATCCTGCTTCACACAGCCTCTTTCTTCTGTCTCATTGTTAACCTTACATAACTTTGGCTCAAGCACAAAAATAACTCATTGAGAGGCCTCTGAATTTCAATGCTTGGGGATTTGTGAGAACATCCTAAGTGAGGGAAATGCTAAATTCCCATGGCTGGGAAGGTGACCTTCAGAGCTGTCCCTTCCAGGTACTTACAAGGGCGGTGGTGTGTGTGTGTGTGTGTGTGTGTGTGTGTGTGTGTGTGTGTGTGTCCACAGAAGGTGACTGACAACTCCAGCAGAGGGATCTGCAGGGAGTCACATGGGTCTGACCCTCCCTCTGCTCCCTTCTGTCCTCAATAAGACTTTGGTTTATTTACAGGTTCTCCCACTAAATGCATAGATTGATACTTTCCTTCCTTAAAATCTTCAATCTTTAACAGAAGCTAAACCCGGTGATGCATGGCTGTAATCCCAGCACTTAGAAGGCTAAATCAGGATCACAGGTTCCAGGTCAGGCTGCGCTATGGCAAGACTCTGTCTCGATGAAGGAGAGAAACGTGTGTGTGCACAAAGAGAGAACAAGAATCCATGAACCACTTGTACAAAGGCGTTGTGTTAGCTAAGGAGCAAAGATGCAGGAGACCCATTAGATCTAAAGCCTTACCAGGGACCTTTTGTTCTAGGCTGAAGAGTCTAGTCCCATCTGCAGCGTCTGGGTTCCAGCAGTAAGTCAACTATTTGTTGCCTGTCATTGGTAAGAGAGCCCTTGGAGACTCCACCTCCTCCTGCATAAATTAGAGAAAATAACACCTAGAGCTCCTTAATAGTTAAGACACTTCAACACAGAAGCATTTGTACAATATTGACCCCAGGGTGCTCATGGCTGGTAGTTCTCTTTTCCTGAGAATGCAGAAGCTTTAGTTCAGATTCATTAAGTACAGTGATTATGTTGGCTAACCTCGGTGAGATTGAGATTTAGAATCACTTAGAAGGTAAACCACTGGGTGTATCTGTGAGGGTGTTTCCATAGAGGTTTAACTGTGGAGGGAAGACCCACCCTGAATGTGGGCAACACCGTCCCCTGGCCTCTGGTCCTGGACTAAATGAAAAGGAAGAAGCCAGCTGAGCCCAGTGTTCATGTCCCTCTGCTTCCTGACTGGAGACATAATGTACCTCACCCTCCTACCACGCTGCCTTCTTCACCATGATGCACCAAAAGAATCCCTTCCTTAAGTCAGGCATTGTGTCATAACAAGAAAAGTAACTAACGTAGTAGCTTTGGAACGTGGGATACAAAGTTCACCTGGCTGGGCTTAACTCCTGCTTCCCATGACCTTGATGTGTTTGTTCTTTGCTGTGTCCCTGTTCCATCATCTGGAGAGTGGAGTCAGTGACATCACCTGTGCTGTGGGGGTTGGGACAATAGCCTCAGGCATGTTGTCAGGGCTCAACAAATTGTAACTACTGTATTCCAGAGGCCTAGGGGCATGGGAGTTGGAGTGCCACTGCACTTTCTACTTGACTTCTACCATCATGAAGAATTATTTCAATTTTTTAAAAAGAATGCACACACACACACACACACACACACACACGCACACACACACCACCAGAGGAGAAAAAACTGGCCTATTAAAGTACTACTTGATTTGAAATGTGCCATCTGGAGGCCTGTTTTGTGGCAGAGTGTGGAAAGTTCTGTTTATGTCCTGACCTGTGAACTTAGATGGGTTACCTTCCCATTCTCAAAGGTTAGTGCCACCGCGGCTTCTCCCAGGACAATGAACGATTTTGTTGGAGAATGACATTTAAAAGTGTTTGTTCAGTGCAGTGTTCAAAGAGTTGCTTTACTACAGTTTAATGGCAAATTCCACTCTCAATTTCCTGCTAACAAATGTATAAAGCTTTGTTTGAGTCTGAAAGCATTCAGAAGGTTTTTTGGTTTTGTTTGGTTTTTAAGCTGGGGAAGGACTGGATGAACACCGGAAAGAAAAGGCAAAAAAAGGAGGAAAGTCCTCCAGGTGTACAGTGAGCGTTTGATAGCTCCAGACGGAAGGGACTGAGAAAGGCAGAAAAGGGAGGCAGAGCTCCATCACCGCCCGGCCCAGAAAAGGTGTCCCCAGCCCCGCACCGCCTCTGGTTCCTGTTCTGAACCCACAACACAAAGCATCTTCTAGCACCTTCTCACCATGACATACCATTACATAACACCTGCTCTGCCACGAGGCTGCGGGTGTAGCTGTCAGTTCCCAGAGCCAGTGTTCCAGGGCCAGGAAGTAAACACTGAGAGGTTTTTGTGCCAGTGTTCACAGAGGGCACCTGGCGGAGGAGGAGTTCCAGGCTATGTCCCAAGGTTGCTCTGCGTAAGGCGTCTATAGCCTTTGCAGTAATACGAATGGACAATGCGATGAATTTCCATCACTAGAGCCCTTATTCTTTTTAGAGATGAGTGACCACAGAAGCAATGTAGGGAAATTCTTATACAGTAAGAAGCAATGTAGGGAAATTCTTATAC